GGAGGAGGAGGAGGAGGAGGAGGAGGAGGAAGAGGAATACTATTACTAATATTAATAATAATAATAATATTAATAATGATAATCATAATAGTAGTAATACTAACAATATCATTATTATTATTTATACCAATAATACTGATAATAATAATAAGAAGAATAATAATAATAAGAATAATAATAATAAGAAGAATGAGAATAATGATAATACTAAGAATAATAAAAAGAATACGAATGATAATTCAACTTATAATAATAATAATTTTAATATTAAAAATAATAATACAAATAATCATACTACTAATACTAATAATAAGAAGAATAAGAAAAACTAATAATACTACTAATAATAATAAAACTAATAATACTAATATTAATAATAATAATACTAAGGATACAGATAAGATTACTAATAATAAGAAAATTAATACTAATAATAATAATAAGAAGAAAAATACTAATACTAATAAGAAGAATATCAATAATACGAATAATAAGAGTAATACGAATGATACGAATAATAATAAGAAGAAGAATAATAATAATACTAATAATAATAATAAGAAGAATAGTACTAAAAGAAGAAGCAGAAGAATAATAAGAATAATAATAATAAGAATAAGAATAATACTAATAATAATAATAATAATAAGAATGCGAATAATAATAATAATAATAATAATAATAATAGTAAGAAGAATACGAAGAATATTAATAAGAAGAAACATATTACGGATAATAATAATAATAACAATAATAATAATACTTATAAGAAAATAAGAAGAATAATAATAAGAATAAGAGGAGGAGGAGGAGGAGGAGGAAGAGGAGGAACAGAAAGAGGGGGAGGGTGGCGGGAGGGAAGCAGGAGGAGGTCGGTGCCCCCGGGCGCTGCGCGAACCCCAGGTCGGCAGCCAGGTTACTCACAAGGCGCGCAGCCGGTTGGACCAGGATATGTCGTTCGCGGGCACCAGAGAAGGCGACCCTCCCTCCACTGGAGTGCGGCCCTCATCTGCGGCCCTCCTCTGTAGAACCCCTCGTCCTTGACAGCCTCCTTGAGGTGCATGCCACGCCTGTCAGTACGATTGTCGACGGCATGTCGTCAACCCCCCAGATCAAAAGCAGGAGTTGTGCGGACAGGCCTTCTCGGGAGCGGGTGCCCCAGGATCCCTGGATGCAGAGGATGCGGACAGTTTCGGGCCCTGGGGGGCTCGGAGGCCGTCACGTCCGCTGCCCCCTCTGGGGGCTAGTGGGACGTCGGCCCCCACGGAGGTGGACGCGTGCTCGGTCTGGCCCCGGAGCAGGGGGGTGGGTGGGGGACGCCTCGGTTTGGCGTCGCGTACTGGCGGGGCGATGCATCGGCGGGCGGCGAGGGCCGCAGAACAGGAGCCTGGGGCCCCTGAAGGGGCCCTCTGGGGCCCAAGGCGGGCCCCAAGGGCCCAGCAGGTGCACCTCTCTCCACCCCCCATTGATCCCTCCACCAGGAAGCGACGCCCAACACGGTGCCCCGTCGACGTCCATGTGCCGCCGCAATCTGGGCCCACACCGGCTCGCCAAGAAGCAGGCAGGTCCCGGGGGAGCTCGAACGGCGATAGGACGGGGATAAATCCGTTCCAGAGCGTTCCAGAACGCTTTGAGCAGGCCGCGGCGCCCGAGACATCCTCCAGAACTGCCGGATCTCAGAGATTCTCGATTTCCCCCCGCCCCCCCCCGATTTTATATCCTCGCCCTGGCGTCGTCTTAGGAGCTGTGCCTGGAACGCCCTCCACCTTCGATGGGCCAATCTCCCGCCACCACTACCACAGAGGCAGGACGGGGGAGTGGGGAGGATGGTGAGGCGAGCCCTCCCTCCCCTCCCCCTCCCCTCCCTCCTCCTCCGCACCCCCTCCCCCACCTGTGGCAGTGGTGGTGGACAGTCGGCCCCTCCGCACTCTTCGGCCTCCCGGCGAGGGGCCCTCGGCGGGCCTCTCGGGAGCCGTCGGCGAAGGCCACGGCTCGCGGCGGAGCGCCGCGGCTCGGGGGCCCGAGGCCCGGGCTCCGGGGCCCGTGGCCCTCTTCGGGCGTGGCGCCCGTCGGGCGAGGAGGCCCGAGCGCGACGCCACGCCCGACGGGCGGCAGGGGCCGGCCCGGGAGGGGGCCTCGCCGGCGCCGAGGTGGGCGAGGCCCAGCCTGGGCTCAGGACCTGTGCGTGTGCCTCCCTGGCCAGGGAGGAGGAGGAGGAGGAGGAGGAGGAGGAGGAGGAGGAGGAGGAGGAGGAGGAGGAGGAGGAGGAGGGAGGAGGAGGAGGAGGGAGGGAGGAGGAGGCGGAGGAGGAGGAGGAGGCGGAGGAGGAGGATAGGAGGAGGAGGAGGAGGAGGAGGAGGAGGAGAGGAGGAGGGAGGAGGAGGGAGGGAGGAGGAGGGAGGAGGAGGAGGAGGAGGAGGAGGAGGAGGGAGGAGGAGGGAGGAGGAGGAGGAGGAGGAGGGGAGGGAGGAGGGAGGAGGGAGGGGAGGAGGGAGGAGGAGGATGAGGAGGGCGTGTGCACCGAGCCCGGGCTCGGGATGGGCCTGGCCAGAGTTGGTGCTAAAAGTCGGGCATGTCCCTCTGCAGGAGGAGCAGTCAAACATAGTCAAAATAGCCCGGGGGCTGTTTCTCGAATCTGTTGGACGACTTCCGGATCTTGTTTGACATTTTTTCCCTCCAACATCCGCCTGTAGGGGGACAAGCCCGACCTAAAATTTGTGCGTGTGCATCGTTCTCCTCTAGTAGTGGTGGGGGGCGCGATCAGGGGGGCAGTAATCTAGGCCTCCCAGATGGGCCGGAGTAGGTGGGGTCGGAGGGCGGCGCCGAGTCGCCGATGCATCGGCGATGCGGCTCGATGCGGAGCCCGATTGCCTCCACTCGCCGACTCATCGCCGATGCATCGCCAATGCGGCGCGATCCTCCGAATCCATCTACTCGGACCCCATCCAGGAGGCCTCTAGAGAAAGGGGGGGGGGGAAGAATGGTGCACGTCTCGTGCACTGGGACCCTCAAAAGGGGCACCAGAGGTGCACGTTTCTTCGCCTCCCCCCACTTGCCGCCCCCCCATTGAGCAACGCCCAACCCTCAGCGCCGCCTCCTGCCAGCACGATGCACCGCTGACATTTCGGCACCGTCGTCATGCATGCCCGCGAGGGCCTCGTAGTCGCCGTCGTCTTCGCGGGTCGTGGACGTCAGGCAGAAATTGTCCGAGGCCCGCGCAGATTGTTTGGATCGGCGCTGGGCCTCCCTGGCGCGCTGCACCAGGGGGCGTCAGCACCAGCGCCGAGGGTCCGCCTGCTGGTCGTCGCCGTCGTGGTGGTGGCTTGATGGTCGTCGAGGTCGTGGTCGTCGTGATGGTGAGGCTCGTCGTCGTGGGCGACGTGGTCTTCGTCTCTGCCGTCGTCGTCGCGGATCGCCGGCATCGCCGTCGACGTCGTCGACGTCGTCGTCTCACCTTGCTCTGAGGATGAACTCGCTTTGCTGCCGGGCGCGCCGCCGCAGGCAACTCCCCCTCTTGCTCCTGCTCCTCTCCTCCAGCCCGCCCCTCCAATATTTCTCCGCTTCCCCTTCTTTCGTCGCCTTCGCTCCATCATGCCGCTGGGCGCGTCGATTCTCCCTCGTCCCGCATCCTTGCCCCTGCCTCCCTCATCCTTTCTCCCTCGGCTCTTCCTTCCTCCTCCTCTTTTGCGGGGGTGCCTCGCGTGATACCTCGTACCCGTTCCTCGGCTGCTTAGGCGGAGGAGGACGGTGGAGGAGGAATGGGCAAACGCAGGATGATAATCAAGGATTGCAACGATATTGTTGTGGTTCATGAGGATGATGCCGATGATGATGATGATGATGATGATGATGATGATGATGATGATGATGATGATGATGATGATGATGATGATGATGATCAAGATGATGATGATGATGATGATGATGATGATGATGATGATGATGATGATGATGATGATGATGAGGATGAGGATTCTGATGATAATGATGATGGCGGTGGTGATGAGACTGACGATGCTGCTGCTGCAGCTGATGATGATGCTGATGATGATGCGATGGTGATGGTGGTGATGATGATGACGACAATGATGTTGGGTGGGGATGATGATGGTTGCGGTGGCAGTGGTTGTAATGGCGATAGTTCTTGATGATGATGGCGTTGATCATGGTGATGATGCTGGCGGTGATGATGATGAGGACGATGATGATAAGATTGATGAATCTGATGTTGATGCTGATGCAGATGACGATGTTGCTGCTGCTGGTGATGATGTTGGTGATGATATTGATGATTCTGATGATGGTGATGTTAATGATGATGATGATACTGCTGATACTTGTGTTTATGACGATGCTGCTGATGATGATGACCATGACGATTCGTGATGTTGATGGCGATGGCGGCAATGACGATGATGATGATATTGGTGATGAGTTGATGGGGATGATGATACTAATGATGAGTGAAGATGGTGGATGGTGACGATGATGATGGCCAGTATGATGATGACTACTGCTACTGATGATGAAGGCAAGTATTATGATGGTGACGATGACAATGCTGATGCTGCTGATGATGGTGGTGGTGGTGGGGTGATTCAGATGCTGATGAGGCTAATGACGATGATGGCGATGATGATGGTGATGATGCTGCTGATGATAATGATGATGATGCTGATGATGATGATGATGATGATGATGAGGAGGAGGAGGAGGAGGAGCAGCAGGAGGGAGGAGGATGAGGAGGAGCAGGAAGAGGAGTATGAGGAAGGAGGTGGAGGGGGAGCGAGGAAGGAAGAGAGATCAAGATTGGGAGGAGAAGGAGGACTACGACCAGGAGGATCACGAGGACGAGGAGGAGGAGGAAGAGGAAGAGGAGGGATGAGGGAAGAGGCAGGAGGAGGTCGGCGTCGGCCAGCGGCTTCGCTCTTGGCGTGCTCGGTTCGCGTGTGTCACCTCAGCGCTGGTGGCGCAACCGTACCACCTTCGCCACCGCCCAAGAGACAGCAGGCGGGAGGCGCACGGTGGAGTGGGCGTTCAAGCCGCTCTCAATCAGAGCTCAGACAGTGTAGGCCGTGGGAAAGCACGCCCGGAGCAGGAAAGCGAACACGAGATTTAGTCTCCCGGCCACAGGACGGCCTTGAAGGACCAGGGCCCCACGCGTTGGCAACGCTTCTCTCTCGCAGGAGCTCGGTTGGCCTGGATACGAGCTTTCTGCGATGCTGCGAGGACAAGAGGAGGAGGGGGGGGAGGCGGAGGCGAGGCCAGGAAGAAGGAGGGGGGAACCACATTCTCGTTCAGCTCGGGCCTGGCCTCGTTGGGCCACCCCTCCCGGAGGGAGACCCCCCCCCCTCCAAATCGACCAGGCGGGGCTCCTGGGGGAGGGGTTTGGGGAGGGGGAGGCATCTCACACGCCGATGGCGGATCTTGGCTTTCTCTCCGGGGCAATTTGGCGCGTCATGTGTGCCTCTTGGGGGGCATCTCGGGAGTCTTTTGGCGGCATCTTGGGGGTCTCTTGCGGGCCTCTTGGGGGCCTCTTGGGGCCTCCAGGGCGCCTCGTGGGGCCGTCTTGGGGCACCCTTTGGAGCCTCGGGGGCCATCTTGGGGCCATCTTGGAGGAGATCGATCAAAGGACGGGCAGGACAAAGATAGCCCCCCCCCTTCCCCCCACAGGAGACCAACATGTAGCCACATCCTTAGTAGCATGAGTGATCTTGGCCTTGACGCTGAGGCCTCTATGGGGCGTCTCGGGTGCCTCTTGGGAGCCTGCTGGGGGACTCCTGGCGGCATCCTGGGGGCCTCTTGGAGGCCTCTTAGGGGCCCCTTGGGGCCTCGAGGGCGCCTCTTGGGGCCGCCCCTCCGTCGAAGCGTCGGCGGCATGACGATCACCCGCCCCCCGCTGGTTCCTGTCCCGGTGGTGGTGGTGTTGGTAGTGTGCGCGTCGGTTCGTGCGCGTCGGTTCGCGCCGTGTGGTCCGCGCGCGCTGACGCCTACGTCGCCGCGCTGGCGGCGGCGCGCCCGTCCCGTTTGGATTTTTCCCAGCGGCCAGGACATAGGCTTCCTGCCGCTTAGCATCTATAGTAGGAGCCTCGGGGGCCATCTTGGTGCCATCTTGGAGGAGATCGATCAAAGGACGGCCCGTCTTTGATGATAGCCCCCCCGCCCAGGAGGCCAACATGTGGTCAACACCCGAGCCGAATGCATGGTTTTGGTTTCCTCGCCGAGGTCATCTCGGACGCTATAACGACTTGCCGCCCCTCCCCTCCAGACCCACGGGGAGGGGGTAGGAGGAGGGGTAAACCCCTCCCCGAAGGGGAAGAGGAAAGATGAACGAGGAATCCTTCTAAACCATTCGCGCCGTAAAGGGCTGGTGGGATTTTGGTGAGAATGCACCCCAGGAGGAGATCTGGGGAGTACCGATATCGGCATCTCTTGGCGGCCCCAAGGTGGTGTCCCCACCAGCGGCGCTCGCTGCTCAGGGAGGTTGCGGTTCTGGCGCCACTCTGGCGATTTTTTTGGTGTAGTCGCAGGCGGAGAGACGGTGGGCAGCATCCGAGAGCTCTTGCTTGTTTGCTTGCTTGCCGCTCGGCGGGGGGCGAAGACGACGAGAACCAGTCGGATCTGGTCGGCGAGCTGGGCTTCCACGAGAAGCTCGTCGAGGCGCGGCATGCTGGCGCTCCGCTCTGCTCTCTCGCACCTCTGAGGGCGCCGGAGGCACGTGTCACACTCGCGCTCGCTTCGCTGCGGCTCGGCGCCACTTGCGAGCGACTCGCGCGTACCGAGTCCGCGACTCCCCTCGCTCGAATCATAATAATAGTAATACTAGCAGTACATAGGAATAGTAGTAATGATAATAGGAATCGTTGTATTCATAGTAATACTTATCCTAAGATCTACAGTCGGAATGAAAAGAAACATATCAGGAAGAAGAAACATAATAATCATCGACATCAACAGAGCGGCTTTTGGAGGTTCCCGCGGATCTCTCGGATCGGCGCTAGATCCCCGTCCCTGGCGCGCGGAGCGCGTCAGGGGCGGCGCCAGAGGCGCCTGCAGGGGGGTCAGCGCAGATCCAAGACATCCGCGCGGACCCCCAACACTTTTTAGTCAGTGCGTTTCTTGTTCCTCGATTTGCTTTTCTCTGTCACTTCGGAGGGTGCCAGAGCTTCGTCTCACCTGGCCGTGCCCGTCCTCAGCGTGTGGCGGGATGATACCGCCAGGTTCAGCGTAAGATGCTCCAATCCTCGGGGTCGGAGGATCACGCCGCATCGCCGATGCATCGGCGACGCGACTCGATTATGAACAACTCTCGCAAGGGCGCCCACAACGGCCAAGAGGCCCCAAAGCTGCCCCGAGGCACAACCAAGAGCCCGATCTTCTCCAAGCCAATGTCGCCGATGCATCGCCGACGTCGCTGATGCATCGCCGATGCACTGCCGATGCATCGCCGATGCGTCGGCAATGCGGCGCGGTCCTCCGACCCAATTTACTCGGACCCCATTTGGGAGACATCTAGATGCACGAGTGACGCCGTTTGGTTCCCTGCCCTGGAGGAAGCATGTGCACATGTCCTCTGTTGCCCGAGTCTGCAGGCACAGTACAGTCCACGTCCGTGGTGCGGTCCGTGTGCTCTCCCGCTGACAATGCAGTGCATCACGGCACATTACACGCCGGTCGTTGAAAGTGGGTATTTTGAATTCCCAGATTCCAACCTACTTCCTACTTCAAGCTTTTGCTGTGTTTTGTTATTCCCTGGGGGGGCCTGGACCCAATCAACTTAATCCGCCATCCTACTTCATGTTTTGACCTACTTCTTCCGACCGACGTGTATCTCAAACCAGACCATAGTGGAATGTGACATACCATTCTACAGGTTTCCTGTGATATTGAGGCCTGTCATGTAACCTTGCTGTGTGTGATTTCGAATTGAGGTGGTACTGCTGCTGCACTGCTTGTTGTGTTGTCGTTGCATTTGTTTTACATTCTGTGTAGTGTAGTGCTTTGTGCGTGGTTCGCGTGTATCCATGTTTGCAGCACTGCTGAATTGCTATCGCGTTGCTGCTGCGCTGCCTTTGAGTTGCTTTGCATTGATTTGCGCTGCGGCTGCGCTATTTTTGACATTTCAGCCGGCATAGTTGTGCATGACTGTCAACTAGTCTTTGATATTGCACGTACGTGTGGATTACGTTTGCATTGCGTTCTGCCCCATTTCGTGCTATGCGATATGTATTTGTGCTTGCATTGCAGCGCGCTGCATTGCATGCTTCATACGTGAATCCGTCTTGTCCAACTTCTTGCCAGGTGGATACCAGATTACCTTCACGCGCTGGTTAGGATTTGTACCACGTTGTCGGATTCCATACATGCCAGCTGGTTGGGATTCGCCTCTACGCCAGGGGCGGCCCGCTTTCAAGCGACCCGCCTTTAACGAGTCTCGTTCCTCGTTCCCTGAACCAGTTGCTCTCCAGACGCCCACGCCATTCCGCCGACCCTGGTGTGTGGCCTCCTATGTTGCACGTGCTGTTTTCGCTTGTCGTCGTACTGCCTGCGTGCCGTTGTCGCTAAGTTGTCCTCCTCTTTCTAAGCGTCTGCTGCGGGCTTCGTGGGGGGGTCCTCTTGGAGGCCTCGGGGGCGGACCCTTGGGAGTTTTTTCAAGGCTCCTGGTGGCTCTCAGGGCCACTGAGAGTTTCCTCTCTTGGGCATCCCTTGAGGGCCTTTGGGCGGCTTGGGGGCCTCTGGGGCCATCTTGGGGTCCCCTTGGACCGTCGCCTGGCCCTCTTGGGGGCTTCTTGGGCCGTCTTGAGGTGGCCTGAGGGGCCTCTCGTGCCGTCTTGGGCTGTCGAAAACGAGGATGAGGCCTCCAACCACGCTCCCGAGGCCTTTGGGAAAGCCACGACGGCGAACAGCGGGAGCGCCAGAAAGCGCCTAAGAGCGACCCCAGATTCCGTGAGTTGGGGGTCTGGGCGCTTTCCCCCCGCCCTCTCGCACCATCTCCCTCACCCCGTCTCTCCTCCCTCCTGCGCCTCCTCCTCCTCCTCCTCCTCCTCCTCCTCCTCCGCCCTGCCTTCCCTCTCCTCTCTCCCCTCCCCCTCCCCCTCCCCCTCCTTTCCCCCCTCAACGGGTGATGCCCGCCGCCGTCCCCGAGTGGGAGGCGCCGCCAGAGGGGCCGCGCCCGCGGCCTCGCCACCCGATGCTTACCGCAGGTTCGCGGCGTGTCGACCGGCGGCGACCCCGCCGCCGGCCTTCAAGGTTGAGCGCCAGCTGCGGCCCAGAACCGGTCGACGCTGAACGATCGGACGTTGCGGGAACGGCCGATTGTGCAGCATCGACCGCGGTGTCAGGAGCCAGCGCCCAGGTCGACACGACACGAACCCGCCCTACCCAGGCAGCCACCACCACCCTGCCTCTTTCCCTCCCGCCCCTTCCCCCCCCCTGAAGCGTTTTGCGGCCGCCCCGTGGCCCGAGAGGATCCCCACGCCGCTCCCCCACAGGTCTTGTGAGCATGTGCACCTTTCACCTTCACGCATGTGAGGATCGAGCGCGACCGGGCGCCATGGTCCTGCGCCAGGACGGCGCGCCTTGCTTGAACTCGCAGTGTGTCCCGAGAGGCCTTCCGAAGCGTTTCCCAACACGCGTGCCCGGAAGCTCTCCAGAAGGTCTTCCGGAAGCTCTCCAGAAGGTCTTTCGAGCGTTCTTCGGCAGGCCTTTCCACGGCTCTCTGGCGCCCTGCTACTTGTCACTCGCCATTCCCTCCGGCCCTGTCGTCTGCGTGCTTGGGGCCGCCTGGTGTCTCAGTGCTGGGTGCCTCCCATCGCTGCGGGGGGGGGGGGGCGGGCGGACGTTCGCGCACCCCGCTCCTACCCGGGGTCTCTGGGGGAGTTTCGGTCGGGCCGCGGTGTAAGCTCGAGGTCGGTTCGGGGAGGGTGCCCTGGTGCTCTTCATGCTTGTTCTTGGCATCGCTCGGACGTGTGCATTTTTCCTTCGGTGAGGACCATCGAGGAGCATCATTGATCATTGGGCGAGCAAAACACGGGGAATGGACGTCCGAGCGATGGCCAGTGTTGGATGCTCTCGTGTGCATCCTGGGGAGGGCACCCCAGGATGTTCTGCTTGCCCTGGCCGACGGAGGGCCTCGGGTTCTTGAGGGGTGCTCTTCTCGCCCAGGTCCTTGGACGATCGGCGCGCAGACTGCCGCAATGCCGCGCCCGACCTCCCTCCCTCTCCCTCTCCCTCCTGGCCCTTTTTCGGCCCAGGACGCCCGCGCCGCCCTGCGAGCCGCGGGCGGCCAGGCCGCCTCCTCCTCGTCGTCCTTCTCCTCCTCCTCCTCCTTTTCCTCCTCCTCCTTCTTCTTCTCTCCTCTCTCTGTCTCTCTCTCTCTCTCTCTCTCCCTCGCCCTTCAGAGACGGATGTTAACGAAATTGTCCCCCCCAATCTCTTCTGGTCTGCTATCGTTGATTGTCCGCTGCCGCCAGGCTCTAGGAGGGCCGACTGTGCCCCACGCGTGCTCGCAGGTTCAGTCGGGGCGCCGTGCCTCCAGAGAGCTCGTGCGAGTGGTGGCCTCCGGGTAAGTCAAGCAACACTTGCAGCGCAGAGCAAATCTCTCAGCTCGCCCTCGTGACCGGCCAGCAGGACGCAGGCGACGACGGTTGGGTGGCGGTCCGGTTGTTGTGATTTCTTCACGCAGGTTTCATATCGCATATCGTAAATGCAGAATAACTCGTTCTTCATTTCTTGTGTTGAGGCAGTCTCTTGCGTGGGCTTCAACTTGGTGGCTTTCCTGTACGGTTCTTTGGAGAAGTTGATTGACGAGTTTGGCGAGTTTAACAGTTTTGAGTCTAACGGTTTTCTTTGGCCTGTGCCGTGGCACCGTGAGCGATCTATTCAGTATGGGGTGGACTAGTTGCGTTCCTTCTTCTCCAAGGACCAGTCTGTGCGTCACGACGTTCTTGCTCAGCAAGTGGTGTCTTGGTTGTACAGTCTCCACGACCATCCCAAGGTTCCGGTCTACGTGTCCCTGACTCTTTCCATACTGGCGCGGATGCTTGGTGGATCTCTAGATTGCTCTTTACGGCGACTTCGTGGTTACCCTTTCCATCGGCTGTTGGTGACCACGCTTATGCTGAGTGCACTTCGCCGCGTCCGCGCGGCCCTTCGACATCGACCCGTTCCCCAATGGGCTCAAAATTTGTTCCAGTTGATGCCGTCGGAATGGCGCAGGGCTGTCTATGACGCTACGGACCCGGTTTTCTGGGAGTTTGTCGAGATTGCGACTGGCACGCGCTATTCAGATCGATCGGCGGTGTATTGCTTGGCGACGCATTCTGGTTTCTACATTCGCAAGGCCAAGTTGAACCGTCAACCTCTTGCTGGTCTGTGCGGCCGCGCTGGAGAGCATCTTTGGGCGTTCCTGAATCCCGGTTCAGCGGTGGGGCAACGCTCACAATACAAGCTCCTTCGGAAATCGGCTGGTTCGCTCATGCTTTTCCCAGTTCTGGTACTTCGATCTGAAACTGATGCGTTTGTCATGGAGAGTTTGATTCTACGGCAATATCAACCTTCGGCGAATGCTGCGGACAAGTGCGAGGCGGCGGTGACCGCGGATCGACGCGGTCAGGTACCCCTCCTCCGTGGACGGCGTCGCCGGCGCCCTCGACAACGAC